GAGAGAGAGAGAGAGAGAGAGAGAGAGAGAGTTAAAAGCTGGGCTAAACTTATATGGTTATCAATACCTGCAACAAGGGATTGGAAAAACTTTTCAGTAACATAGTCCTCCTCATTAGAGTTCTCAAAAGCTAGGCTAAACTTATAATGTCTCAATGCTTCAACTTTGTCCACTGCAAAACATACATAAAAAAGTCGTGACTTAAAAGATTATCTAACTACAAGGTTTTTATGAGAATGGATTGGAGGAGGTGAGTGAAAATGCATCGTGCACATATAACTGTTGCAGCTAAGGGGATCACAAGCAGAACAGAAGACTGGTGCATAAGAGTGCAAGAAATTAGCTTGCTCCTTAACAGGCCTTAACCCACAATTTTAATTCATAGAATAAAGTGTAGACCCAACATTCTACATGGGAAAGACAAACATTCAATTATTTCTTTTGGGGCACAGAATGGTTTAACTATATTTGCCTGTAAACTGAAAAGTTTAACTGTATCTAAGCATGCAATGTAAGGCTGTGTGTGTATATATATGTGTCAAAATCATATATGTCAAAATCAACTTACACATGCAAGAATGAGAAACTCTTACACTGGTTTATAATTTCCAATATAGTTAATATTTTGAAAAACCATGGTTGGGTTTTCAAAATATTAACTATATTGAATATTCTAAGCTGGTGCAAGAGTTCCTTATTCTTACACATGTATAAATTGATCCTGACCATCTATTCCATTAATTATGCTAGTATGCATGTTTATTATAAGGGAAAATGGCTAGAGAAAATGGGATGCATTAAGACCATCCCCAATATCCAGAGAAAGGCTACATACATTGCAAAATGACAAAAACACCCTTGTGGAGCATCCGAAACATCTCTTGGATTATAGGGGACTACAATGCACTATTCTCCATACATGCATACATACATACATACATACATACATACATACACTAATTAATTATGCGGGTATGCATGCAATTTACAAAGGGAAAAAGATAGAGAAAATAAGATTCATTAAGAGCACCCCAAGAAGCCACAAGAATGGCTGTCTTGGATAGATAATATCAGCGTCTTCTGACGGAGTTCAAAGATTAATTAAAGATCAGTTGCCTTTTCAGAAAATGATTATATGTTTTTGAGTTTAAGGTTCACCTAACAAGGTGGAGAATATAAAAAATGATACTTCAGGATGAGGAAAATTATAAGTGTGGAAGAAACTTTAACCATTGACAGACCAGGTAGGAAAATGGTTATCATTCCAGGAAGACCTATATAAAGCTATTAAATTACAGTAATTCAATATTGAAGCTCATAGATGACAACCAAATATTTACATAGTATAACATCATGAAATTTGAAAAGGCATTAGACATTCATACCTCTTCCATCATGGTTTCTATGGCATGCACCATAAGAATCAATCTTGATATCAGCCTTTTCAAGCTCAAAAAGGGCCTGCAAACGAAAGTTACGAGCGCCACAATTAGAAATGAAAGCTGCTGCAAGGGCATTCTCGGTCTTTGGCTGCACTGGTGCCATGATATCATATTCAGCCCAGGAAAAGTATCCAACAGGAACATCTGATGAGAGACTAGTTGTCATTACAATATTATATCCCCTCCTAATTCAAAAGAAGAAAAATATTATGAATGTTAGTTTTACAAATATTTTGCCACCATAAGACTCCGCTTCAAACTTATTCTTTATAGGATGATATCCATATAACTAGCAATGGTACTTGTCAAACACATTAACTATTTCCACAACCTGTTAGGGTTGGCCAAATATTAAAGAATGATATGAACCATGCTGGAAACACAGGTTCTCTTCATCACTTAATGCAGTCTTATTAAAGGTGCATGGCGCACTAAGGCACAAGGAGGTCGAAGGGACAAGGCTGAGGCACATGCATTACACACATAATCCACACATTCTAAAATATCACATGAAAATAACAAATTAGTAAAAAATTTGTGCCAATTAAATAAAGCATCACAAATTGATAATGAGAATGGGAGAAATATTTGGGAAATGATAGACAGACAATGATTTTAAATACAATGGGCCATACAATATGAAATATGGCATGCTATGACTGACTCTTTTTACAAAATGTACAATAACAAAATGATAAAATCAAGGAGAGAATTTATAATGAATAATCTTGCAGATTGAGTCAATTAAGGAGATGGTGCTAGCTAAATCTTCCTATAATGGAAACTTTTTTTTTTTTTTTAATGAGTATGATGGAAACTTTTAATGGGCTGGTCATTGACTTTGAAAGTGATCAAGGCTTGATTCTTATTGATTCAATTTGTCTCTCTAACATATAAGGAATTTTCTTTTTATGAGCAATTAAAAAGATGATGCTGGCTGAATCCTCTTAAAATGAATAGAAGAAACTTGTAGAAAATAGTAAAAAATAACAAAAAATTGAAATTTCAATGGTTCACATCAGGAGTCCTTTTTTGCAACTACATTTAATGCTAGAACAAGCATGCCCCTTGGGGAGTGCCTTAGTAAGGTGCCATGGCTTTGGCACCTTAGATGCACCTCAGAGGCATCTTTAATAACATTGTTTGCCCAGTGCCTGTGGAAAGGCAGTCTACAGCTGCCTATCAGTCCAAAGGCCTGGATACCACGTTATCAAAACAAAATCTACTACTTCCGTGGTCCTCAAAGTAAAGTATTAACACTTGACCTCAGCTACTTAGGGCAGCCCTATTCTCCATGGATGGGAAGATAACTATAGTGATGCATCATTCCATCCTCCACAGGTTGATAGCCTGTGCACTAAATCTACCACTTCCAGGGGCAGCCAGTTATAAATATAAAAGCAGCAGCTGAATTGACCTAACAAGAAATGCCTACATAAATAATCTTTCACTTCAAAAAAATGAATACACAGAAATTCACACATCCAACTTGTTGTCACATTTAAAACTATCATCTTTGCATTCAACATTTTAACTCTAAAACAAATTAGAATACTGCTACGAAAGAAAACACCATAACCATATAAATTACTATGTTGGCAAGTCCTACACTCCTCTTGCAGTGAGCTGCTTTTATCTTAGAAATCAAGTAAACATTACATGAAAGGCTCAATTCCTATTTTACCGTATCTAAGATTGATGAACAGAACAAAATTGCCCATATAAAAATTCTTCACAGGTTCAGGCTTTGTTTGCTTTGCTCAAAAAGATCATAAAATAGGTGAACTTTATATGTGTAGAAGTTTAAAATAATTGTTTCTGCTAGAAAAGCTGGATTCCCACCTTCAAAGAAACAGAGATGACCTAAAATTTCAGTTATAACTATCCTGTACAATTGAAGGTACCATGTCTCTTTTACACTTGTTGCGTCAATACTCAGCACACTATAATGTCACACTCTCTCTGTCAACCCCTAAAATCAGGTTCACAATAAACACAGAACTGTTCAATATCACTCCTGCCTAAACTAGGAAGACAGAATCACAACAGACATGGGTCTGGTAAAAAAATAAGTAGATTACATTTGATATTTTTAAACGAAGTTGAAAAGCAGGGCAATTGAGTAGCAAAAGGAACTTTTAAACACAAGCAGAACCCAAAAGGTATCAGTACATGCTGCATTATATTAATAAAATATTTTATATTTCCAAATATGAAGTAATCATAGACTGTGCTTACCCACCGTCGTGCCTGATCAATATTATTCTCTGAATAGTATTGGGATGATTCCATTGAACGCAACACGCTAGTTATTCCAGGTTGGTGAGGGGCACCAAAGGCAGCATCAGGACTCTCTTTGGGATTATATACAAACTTGCAGCCAACTGTGCAGGTTTTCCACTCCTACATACAACATTGTTTCTCATAGACAAGAATAAATAAGAAAAACTAATAACTTTAACAGGATGATTGGAAGAATAACGTAGAAGACAAATTCTAAGATGTTTCACCTCCTTCAACTGCCTTCAAGTTCACCTTACAATGCTTGAACTTCAAAGCAAACCATGATCACCATACAATAATCTCAACTCTCAGGTGTCAACATTACTAATTCTTAAAATCCTAGTCAAGAAACTTCCCACCAAACAAGTATATTGATTTAGGTCCAAACTGCGTTCCCTCAAAGTACCAAATTTAATGCTTTCAAGTTTGAGGCTATGGTACACATCCCATTTCATTCATCTTTCCAGATCAGCATTCAAGTATGATCTCCTAGATGATTCTATCATGAAATCCTACAGTAAAATCAGTTTGAAATACGCAACTAAAAGTCAAAGGTGCTATCTATCTTGTGGAATCATATAGGAGATCACTAAAAAAGAATACCAGATAGAAAATGTCATCATACAATAGCTTGATCATAAAAGCGATAAACTAAAAATGGGGAGAAGCAGCGAACAAACCTGCCCACCACCATGAACAATGATAGGATCCTTTTCAAAATCCCTTGAATAAACCACAGAATCCTCTCTCTCCAACCACTCCTCGCAACTCCCTGGCGACGACTTCAGGTCATCATCCTTCAATCCAATCTCCGAATCAACACCGAAGACATTCTCCACTCCATGAGAAGCCGTTGTTTTATAGAACAAATCCGGCCATGAATCAAAGAAGGCGGTGTTTTTGGCCATATCAAGACGACCCAGAAAAGCTATCTCTGCTACAACAACAAGGACCACAAAGAGAGGCATCAAGTTTGACCATTTCTTCTGGTTGGGAGACGAAGAAGAAGAAGAGGAAGAAGACAACCCGTTAGAAACGGGCATTCCTTCCTGGGTTCTCGGTCCCCTTAGATTTGAGATCATGGCCATCAATCAAAAATCTTTCTTTGCCTCTTTCTCTCTCAATCCAGGCCTCAGACTGCTAGGAAAACTGAGAGAGAAAAAGGAGGAAGAAGATAACTGATCTTTGGTGTCAGAGTTCTGATAAATGCATCCGTAAGCTCTAAAACTGAAAGTAAATTAGTGGTTTTGCTCGAAGAGAAAGAGGATTAAGGTAGAGAAGCGTCAAGCAGAGGTTTTTCTAGTTCAAAGTCTTCGGCATAGAGTCATAGACCTCTGAAGAAAGATAGTGATGAAGAAAACGAGTGCGGTTATGGTAATCTGCATATTACAATTTAAATAAAAAAATTTTGCATATTACTTCTTTACCTACCACAACAAAAACGTTGAAGGTGATCCAGTCACATGTTAGAATAAATTTATTAAAGTAGTATAAATTTTTGAATTTTATTTCTTAAAATATTAATTAAAATCAGATTAAAATCAGTCTTTTTTTTTTTGATAGTTTTAAATATTATAATGGGCTGTTTACAAAAAGAGAAAAAAAAAAAGAAGAAAGTTTGCGTAACCTTAATAGTTTTTTATATCTCTCAACCACTTTTGAAAATGTATTATGTTATTTGAATTGTATTAAATTAAATTATATTAATTAATTAATAAAAATAAAATTTTAATATAGACATTATTTTTTATTTATAATTTTATTTTTATAATTTAATATAATATAAATTATTAAGGATGGACTCTTTTCCGAAACAGGCAACATCTCTTTCAAGCTTTTAATTATAGAATTTATTAAAAAAAATAAGGGATTGTAAGGATGGGAAACTAAAATATCAATAATAATAATATGCTTAATCAACAAGTAACAAATATTTATTAAAAATATTTGAATAATTTAAACAAACAAACTTAACATTTTTACTATTCTTAAAATAAAAATACTATAGTTATAATATTATGTAATCTTATAAATTTATAATATGATATATTGTTATATAATTAATTTTTTTATTTAAGAGTTTATTTGTTATATTAAACGCATTCACTCATAAATATTATGTCAAAATTATACACTAACAATTCTAGTGATATTGTAATTATAATATTATTGATTCTTAAAAAAGAATTACATATCTTGTACTCTAAATTACTTCTACTCATGTTGTCCTTTTTTTATTCAAAATCATCTCAAATTATTTTTTTATTTTTTATTTTTAAGGTA